TTTTTTTTTTTTTTTTTTTTTTTTTTTTATAATTCTGTGCTGAAATTATTAAACATATTAAATGAACAACAAAAAAGAAAAAAAAAAAAAAAAAAATTTGATTTATGTAATTTTTTTTTTTAATATATTTAATTAAAAAAATGAGATGGAACTAGGTATGAGAATTTTTGTAACTTTTATTACAATTGTAATTTTTAATTATGTATTTATTGAAAAATATGTAAAACTCCTAGTAAATTAATCTTTTTAAGAAAATTTTCATTTTTTACTTATTATATATCTTTAAGGAATAAGTATTTATCTCTTTAAATCATTGATTTTCGTTTGTTAAAAGAAAAAGAAAAAAAGATGCTCAGAAGTATAGGAAAGCTATCTATTAAATCTTTTGAAGAAAAGAAAAAAGATAAAAATGAAATTTTTAACAAGAGAATACAAAAAGAAATAAAAAAATTAAAAGAGTCCAAAATAATAGATGATATAAATGTGTATGTAACTTTAATTGAAAATGATGATGAAGATAATGAGAATTTTAGTTCTGATTTAATTAAACATAAATATTTATGTTTAAATGAAACCTTTAATGAATCATATTTTACAAATGAAAATTTTTTTTTAAATAATTTTATTAGCCATTTGAAAAAATTAAAAAAAAATAACACAATAATATATTCACAAAATGAAGAAGATCCATGTATTTACGAAGAATTGAACAAGTATTTTGAATATAAAAATATAATATGCCCTTTTTTTAATATATTTGAATTTTTAAATTTTCAGAATATTTTTGAAAATTTTTCATCATTTTTAAGTGATATAACTTATTTCATGAAAATTTTTGAAATTTTTAAAAATGGATTTATAAATGAACAAAATATCTTTAACAGTACAAACGAAAATATAGGAGATAATTATGAAATTAAAAAAAATAATGAGTTTTTTACTAATATATTTTTTGAAATTTTATATAAAGACTTTATTAGTCACATTTCAAAAATTCAAATGGAATTAATAGATAAAATATTATATTCTGATGAATATGAAAATGAATATTTTTATCAAAGCTTTTTATTTTTTTATAACAAATATTACAGCATAAAAGAAAGTATAGTCTATTCGTTTTTTATTTTTCATGATTATCCTTTTAGTAAACCTTATGTTAATGTAGATCATTTTCCACTTTGTATATTAAAAAAAAAAAGTCAAGGAAAAATTATGGGAGATAAATATAATAAAAAGAATATTCTCAAAATTTTATTAAATGCAAAATGGATACCAAAAATTACATTAGAAAATTTATTTGAAGAATCAAAAAATTTCGTGGATAAACTTTTTTTTTATTATCAATATAAATTATATCTTTTTTATTATTACTTAAGTAAACATAAAATATTTTCACTGTTTTTTGAAAATAAATTTACAATATGTTTTAGTACTTACAATATTTTATATTCTTATGTTTCTAAAGTAGATAATAAATTAATTACAAATAAAAAAAGAAAAAATTACTCTAATTTGTTATACTCAATTAATAATTCAGAATATATAAATCAAGATATCATTTTATATAAATTTTTTTATTCATACAAAAAGTTAAGAAGTAAAAATTATGAAATAAATGAAGAAAAATACTCTACGAGAATTCAAAAAAAAAAAAAGTATGAATATCTCATATATTTATTTTTTTTTATTTTTGTTTTTTTTCTTCCAATATTAATCAAAAGCATATATATATATCAAACAAATGAAATTAACAGTTACTTAAAAGATGTGCATAGTTTTAGTAACTATAATAAAAGTAATAATGATATTTCAAATAAACATCCTCTATTCTTTACATTTTTGCGCTTACTTAGAAATATAAATTTAAATAAAAAAGAAAATGTTATAATTGAAAAGGATTTGAATATATCAAAAGATGAACAACTCAACGCAAATCTAGAGAAAAATAAATCTGAAAATAAAGAGAAGCAAAAAAAAAAAACAAATAATATAGATAATGAAGTTGATATTTTTGATATAAATGAAGAAGAAAAGGAAGTAATAGACAAAAAAAAAGAAAAAGTTATTAATTTATTGAGTGAAAATAATGATAGTATAAAAATGAGAAATAATAATATTACTAAAGAAAATCTGAACCATGAAATTTATAAAAAAAAAATTTTTTTAATAATATTTTTATCTGTTTTCGAATTTTTCTTTTTCTCATTAGGTATAATATATAATTTACAATTATTAAGAAAAAAAGTTGAACACAACAACTTCTTTATAAATATTTGCTCATCTTTGCTAATATTATATAACCCCATCTTGTTTTCAAGTAATATAAATTATGTGAATGTAATATCTATTGGATTGTTATATTGGAGTATTAATTTAATTCTTTTAAAAAAAATGTTTTTGTCTATTGCACTTTATTTTTTATCTATATATTTCAATATCACAAATATCAGTTTTTTCTTTCCGTTTTTATTTATTTTTGTATATATTAATAGTAGATATATAATAAAAAGGGGAAATAAAATTAAAAGTGATTTCAAAAATAAATATGAAGTATTCAAATGTATTGTTATTTACTTTCTATTATTTATAATTTTAAGTAATATATTAATATTTATCCTTTTTGATGAGAGAGCATCTTGGATAAGTAATTGGAAAAATTGTTTCTATTTTTTTAATAATTATTTAAATGACACTAAAAATGAATTTATAGCCAACATATGGAATCAGATAATGTTGACCAATAATAATATAAAATTATCTTTCTTTAATTATATTCCTTTTTTTTTAGTTTTAATTTTTAATTATTTTTTTTTTGTAAATACAATTATTAAATTTTATAGTTCCTTATTGTTCTCTTCTATTTTATTTCTACTAATCTCACCTAACATGAGTAATTTCTTATTAATATACATATCGATACAGCTATTATTTTTTATTAATACAATTGGCAATTCAAGTATATTACTAAATATAGTTTTTTCTTCTTATGTAGTTATAACGAATAATAGTTTCAACTTTTATATTTATATTTTGACTTTAATATATTTTATTTTTCATATATATATAATGCGCCCATCAAATAGCTATTCTAAGAAAATAAATTATCAGATTAAAATAATAATAGAATTGATTAAAAATATTTTTCATTTTATCAAAACAAATTTAGCACATTTATATGAAGCAAATATAAAAAATTTAGCAATGTCTTTTGTTATAATATTTTTTTCTGTTTCATTTAATACATTATCTAATGAAAAAAATATTAAAAATATTATTCAAAAAAAGGAAATACAAAAAAAAATTATTTTTTGTTTATATTCACATATAAATCCTGACTATTTGGCTATTCCATTATCATATTTTTCTTTTTTATTATTTTTAATGCTTGGATTTTTAAAGGTACTATATTTTATATTATTTTATATCATTTCATTTTATTTATTCTATTAAGAAATTTTTTTTTTTTTACAGTTGTATGGTTCGAAATTTTACCTAAAATTTGCCTTATCTTTACTTAAATTTCTTACTTTTCTAAGTTTATCGTCAATATTACTCGTAAGAAAAAGAAATAAAATAAAAATATACATATATATATATATATATATGTTCATATAAATATTTATATATACACATTTATTTTTTTTTTTCAATAGATACTTCATTTAAAGAGAAAAAATTTTAGAAAGTTTGACTTCCTTAGCATACCTGATTCATCTTATAAGAGAACATTTTCAATACAGAGATCAAAAAAATTATAATAATAAAATGGGTTACATAAAAAATTTTAACTACATAAATATTTAATTATATAATTAAAACACTAAAGTGTAGTTTGAACATTTAAACGCAAATAATATAAAAATATTTTTCTTTTTGAATTTAGAAGAAACAGATTGAACACATTTATATAGAATTCTATGTTCAATTTCAAAAAGTAAATTTTTTTTTTTTTTTTTCGCACAATAAACATAATTTTAACTTATTGAGATAATAATTATAATTTTTTAATAAAGAATATTTTGATGTATGTTAATATTTGGTTGATTATTTTATTAAACAAATACTTCTGAATAATAAAAATAAAGAAAAAAATTAATTTGAACTTCAAATTTAGCATAATTTTGCTTAATAATTATTTCTAAATTTAAAACAGTAATCACAAAAAAATTTACATATAAATGCTTTTATGGTACACAATTTATAAAATTAATTTTTCAAAAAATAAATGAAATCATTGTTATATATATAAAAGAATTTTTGTTCAAATAAGGAATTTACATTTTTCTTTTTTTTATATACAATCAATCACAATGTAAAAAAAAAAAAAAAAAAAAAAAAAAAAAAAAAAAAAAAAAAAAAAAAAAAAAAAAGTGGAATAGTATAAAATAAAATTATACATATATATATATATATATATAAATACTTTCATGGAAATAATTTTTGAACAAAAAAAAAAAAAAAAAAAAATTACAAAAGTTAAAAATATATATACTTATATTTTGCAAAAATATATTTTTTTTTCATTTTTATCTAATTCAAAAATATAATTTATGTTTATTTTTGTTGTTCTTTAATTGTTTTTAATAAGGAATATTTATATATGATAAGAATACTAATTATTATAACATTTATAATTTATATAAAAATATTTATTACTAATGGATATAGTTTTTTATTATTTATAATAATTCTTATTATTTATTGTATTTATTATCATTATAGTAATAATTATCATTCTCATTAGTATAGGTAGTAAACATATTATCATAGTAATAATTATTGGTAGCATTTATATAATTATTACTAATATAACTAATATCATTCATAAAATTATCATTTATATATGCAGTATTATCATTAATATAATTATTTGCTATATAGTTACATTCATTAGCATAATTTTGATCATTTACATAATTGTTATCATTTATATAATTTCCATCATTTATATAATTTCCATCATTTATATAATTTTGATCATTTATATAATTTCCATCATTTATATAATTTTGATCATTTATATAATTTCCATCATTTATATAACTATTGCTTACAAAATTATTATTTATATAATGATCATTAATATGATTTACATAATTATTATCATTAAAATATGTATTGTTATCATTCATATAATTCGTATTATTATTAGTGTACATATTATCATTATAATAATAATTATTATCAATATAACTATTTTCAAAACAATAAGTGCTATAATTATTATTATTATTTAAATAATTAAAACAATGTTTTTCATTACTAAAATTATTTTTATCATTAACTATATTTTTTCTATTTTCTTGATATATTTGCATATTTCCTATATTTTCATTACATTTTTTTGTATTCATACTATTAATGTTTTGATATTCGTGTATATTTTTTGTTGAATCATTTAATATTTCATCATTTTTTTTTTTTTTTAAATTCATGTGAGTTCCCTTATTGGTGTAATGCTTAAAAAATGTATTATTTGTTTCATTTTTTTTAATTACATTATTACAATCAATATTAGATTCATTCAATTGAATACGACTTTTTTTTTTTTGGAATGAATTGTTGTTACTTTTAAAAGAATTATTGATCTTTTTATTTTTATCATCGTAGTTCATTTTATTCAATTTATCATTTACAAAATTATCATTATTTTCTTTTTTTGTTTCTTCCTTTATATTATTATCAGCATTATTTTCATTGTCATAATCATTTTTTATATCATTATTATTATCATTATTATGATCATTATTATTATCATTATTATTATCATCATTATTATCATTATTAACGATATTATTATTTACTTCATTTTTAAAATCTTTACGATTTTCTTTATAATAATCATTTTTTATATATTTATTACTATTACTGTATTTGTCTCCTAATTTTTTTATGTTCGTATTGTAGTTTTTATTATGTTTTTTTATACTTTTTTCATTTTCATTATTAACTAAATTTTTCATGTTTTCATTTTTCTCTTTTTCTTTATTTCCTTTTGTGTATTTGTTATATTCATTACTATATGCATTATTATTTTTGAAATTATTTTTGTTACTGTATTCTTTATTTTCTGAATTTCTGTAACTTTTTCTTTTACTCATTACATTTTTATCAATTGTATATTTATCAATGTTTTTATCCTTTTCTTCTAATACACTATGTACATTTTCATTATTTTCCTTCTCTTCTACATGATTATTATCAATAGTTTTTCCATAATATAATTTCGTATTTGTGTATTTTTTATTTTCCTTTTTGAAATTACTTAAATAATTAATATTGTTATATTTTCTTATAGAACTATATTTAAGATCATTTTTTTCTTTTTCCATCAATGTTTTATTAACTTTATTAAAATTCATATTGGAATCATTTTTTACATTTGTGTTATCTTCATTTTTTAATTTTTCTTTAATAATTTTAGAATTGTTTTTATTCGAATTTTGTGTACTATTCATTTTCACATTTTGTAGATTAAAACTTTTATATCGATAAGAGTTTGTATTATAATTTTCTTCATATAAATTACTTTTTTTATTATAAAATTTTTCTGTTAATTTATTTCCATAATTTTCATCTTTGACATAAATGTTTCTGGTTACATGATAATTATTTGAGATGTTCCTATTATTTACTGAATAATTGTAATAATTTTTTAATTTATAGGATATATTTTTAATTTTTTCATTATTATAATTATTTTTATAATTTAATCTTTTTTCTTTTAAATAATTTTTTTTTTTTGGATATTTATTTTTATTAAATTCTCCATTTTTGTCAAGATTATCAACTTTATTCAATTCTTTACTTTTATTAATATTTTTCTTTAATTTTTCATTTTTTAGTTCATCATTTTTGTTTAATAAAACATCTCCATTTAATTTCTCCATATTTTCATTTAAATTGTCATTTATACTTGATTCATTATTTTTTTTACTTTTTTTTAATAAATTTTCTTGATTATAACTTTTTTTTTCAGTTGAATGAATTTTTTTCTTTGCATAATTTTCATTCCTTTCTTTATCTATGCAAATCCCCAAATTCCTATTAGTAGAGTTATTTATTTTATTACTTCTTTTGTTATGATGTTTGGTTTTATTATTATAATACATATGATAATTTCCGTTACTGCTCTTATGATAACTTTTTTCATAATAATAGTGCTCTTTATTATTTTTATAAGAAAAATACTTACTTCTTTCATCTTTATGTTTTGAATGGTAATATCTATTATATGTATGAAATTTTTCTCTATCATTTCTTTCTTTTCTATAATAATCATCATATTTATAATCATAAAATAAATCATGCTTCCACCTTTTTTCTTCTTTGTAATTTATTTTATAACCTTTTCTTTTATCATTAGTATTTTTTTTATTTTTATCATTATTTTCAAATCTGTTATCATGCAAAAAATATCTCGATTCTTTTGGTACAAAACAAGGATCTTCCTTCATTTTTTCTTTTATTGAAAAATTTCTATTTGTTAAATTATCTGATTCATAGATTATTGATTGACTTCTTTTACTTTCTTTTTTTTCACTTTTTTTATTCAAATTTATTTTATCTTTTTTTTTCATATTATCATCATTATCATCATCATCATTATCGTCATCATCATCATCGTCATTTATATTTTTACTTGAACAAATGGAACTTTTATTTTTATTTTCTATACTTAGATCATTACTTTCACTTATATATGATTTATAATCTTCAAATACATTATTTTCTTCTTCTAAAATAAATTCATTTCTCATATTTTTTACATCCATCTTAAAATATGATATATAAAAGGAAAAAAAAAAAAAACACTCTTTAGGCTCGTTTTTTATTTATTTATTTTATTATTTATTTATTTTATTTTATTTCTTTTTTTTTATAAATTACAAGCATATTTTTCTTCTATTTTTTTTTTCCTTTTTTTCCTGTTTTTCTCTTCCCTTTTCTTTTTTTTTTTTTGCCTTTTTCTTTCTATTTTTCTTTTTCTTTATTCCTTTCTTTTTACCAATTTATTTCTTTTTGCATCTGTTATTCACATTAACTTTGATTAAATATTATGTGATACATAACTTTTTTTTTTTTTTTTTTTTTTTAATA